TTATAAAATCGAAAATAGGCGGTAAAAAAAAAATTCCTTCGATACGTATCTCTTATTTTACAATCTAGAAATTAAAAAAAATTTTCAGCTGAATCGGAGAGGTGATGATTAATTTTTAGCAAAATCCATTTGGTTTGTAAAAGAATGGCCCACACACGTCTGAAGAAGGTACTGTGATACCAAAGCAGCTGTAACGTTTGTAACAAATAAAAGTGAAGATCGACTATTCAATCAAGAGTCATTGATTTAATTCAATAATCAACCTATATTGGACTAGTTTGATTTTATCTTTAAGTGAAGTATCTGTACCTATTTCTTATACTATTCTGAATGAAAACATTCATGAATATAGAATCTCTTTCGGATCCACGTTTGGTGTATCAGATCCGTTATGGAGCAAGTATACAGATCAGCACATAAATATTTAAGCAATATTATCTTACCTTTCACAGTAAATATATTGCTTCATATTGCGTCATAGAAAAATAATAAATACATGTATGCAATATACGTCACTTTTTAAAATATAAAACAATGTAAGTCATAATTTAAGACTAAAAATAAAGTAGCTCAAATCAATCACACAACTCTTATTTTAAAATAGAATATTGGGGGTTGGCCAGCGAAGCGCGCACGGGGGTAACGTCCCACTGCACTAAGAGAAGGATTGGTTGACTATCAACGTACAGGTATGTTAACAGAAAATTAGTTTACATGTTATTTATAACTTTTTAAATTTTAACTGCACACAGACGACATTTTAATAGTTAATATGTCGTATTCAATACTTTTACTACTCTTATATCATTAAAACAATACATCGTGCAATATGACAATACAACAAGATTACGTGCAGTCCTCTATTTTATGTAATAAAAATGTAAACGAAGTACATAATTTATCAGTTATAACATCATTTTTATTATAGAAAAATGTTGGAATGATATATTGATATTTTAACTATTACAATACGTATCGTTTCAGAATACATATTATATGTGAGTTACTAGTTAACATATGAAGTTAATTACTAACAAATCCTTCTCTCAGTGTAGTATGTATACCAGTGGTGCTCCACCATCTGCACGCTTTGCGCGCTAACCCATCACTAATGAATTGCAAATCCTTTTCACAGGCTTTTGAGTAGCAGGCAAAAGGTTTTAAATTTAAAAAAAAATGTTCTTTATTTGAAAAACACGAATTGTATTAGTAATGATAATATTTACATAAAAAAATATGACAAGTATCTTTTACAAAAGTTAAGTATGGCTGTCATAAAAAAAATCAGTTTGAGTTAGTTTGTGGTAAACAATAAATAATAGCTTATAATAAATGTATATAGAAACGATTATCTTAATTAATAAAAAGAGAAATTCCAGCATAGTATTTAAGATACTTTTTACAATAAATACTCTTGTTCATCAGTTTTATTGATTAATTTTTTTTTTAATTTACATAAATATTGAAGTATATTGATGGGCCCACATAAACATTTGATCTGCTGTTTAAAATAGTTTAATCGGTATTCCGCAAAAAAGTAAGAAAATTACACATCAAACATTACTTTAATGGTTGATAATTATTCACATACTTTTAAAACTGTTTATTTACTCCGGATTAAATATGTGTGAATATCACCTTAAATGCGTTGCTCTTGTAAATTTTCAGTTGTCGATAAAACATAATTTTACCTTACGTTTGCTTTCTTACGTTGCGTAGGTAATCATTTTTTTTTTTCATCACTGTATTGCATACACTACATTCAAAAATTCGTTGTTGTATTTTTTTGATAAATTTTTCATTTTTCTGTAGTTCCAAAACCATGGGAAAAATTTACACTTAAGTAAACTCATCGACCTTAAATTGTTAAATAAAGAGCTGAAAGTTCAAGTTTTTTTTAACTTAATATTTAACATTATAAGAATAAATTTTTAGTACCAATTTCTTTAATATTAATTATTGCTTGAATCGATAGAGAAAATACTAAGAGACCATTGTTCAGGTGATACTATAGCCAGTAATAGTTTATTGCAGAAGTTATCCGTGGAGGAACCTAGTATGAAAAAAACAATGATGCCAGTGCTACGACTATTATAATGTAAAACTTTTTGTTGGTGAAAATTAAAGCAACAGAAGCTAATTTTAACAGATTAATCATTTTTTAGTTGTAAAATGGCGTTAGTGTTTTATAAGACAGGTCTCTATACTGCTACTGCAGTTTTTACTTTTGCCCTTAGATGCTAGTGCCATGGAGCACAATAGTATATGTATACATAATTGCCTGTGATAGAGATAAGTAGTTGTAAATACTCAATTAGATATAAAGCAACGTTTTAATTTTAGATTACTAAAATAATAACAAAACAAACGTTACAATCAATAAGTAATTAAAAATATTTGGCATTTCGTCTGACATGAGGGACTCTTTAAATTTTTATCTTTTAACTGTGAGCTTTAATGTTGGAAACGCTGATTCATTCTAATGCACTATGACTTTATGATTACTTGTTATTCTAATTTTTAAATATAGTTGTTCATTGTATAATTATCTTGCCTAACAAAAAAATTTTAGGATAAAATTGTACATAATTATGAAACATAGTACCTATTGCTGTATAACTAAGTCCCTATTATGAAACTTTTACAAAAAAATGTGCCACTGGTTAGGCCTCTTTGCCACGACAGGGCGCTCGAATCAATAGAAAAAACTGGACACACCTCGTAGCATTAAAGCCAGCTATCGTCCTAATTCCTGCGTTTGATCTGACCTCAAGTACGAACTATTCCGATATCCCAAATCACTTTATTATTCAATTATTATTGTTACTTTTTTTTACAGTTAAAATTAATTCTTAAATATTTGATATAATCCTATGCAGCCAACGAAAGGTTTCATATTTCAGTGAAATTTAATTATCTAAAGTAGCATAAAAATAAGTGAGAGGTACAATAAAGCTCAATCTAGGAGTTTCCTATTGTAAAACGTTAATTTAAAAAAAACATATGACATTTTTATTCTTGTACGTTATGGATGGATGTAAAATATTAAAAAGTTTCTCCTACGATTGAAACTTTTAGTAATAATTCATTAGTATTGGTACGATGACTCACTAGAGCTCTTTCAATTCCCTTTTAATAACTGAAGTAGATTTATTAATCACATAAAAAAGTTCTAATACTGTTTTTTAGTTCTCGAATTTTTTTAGACTGCCATTTTTAAACTGCGATTTTTGCACGTATTACATATTATATCTAAGAAAAACTTAACAGCATATTAAAGATACTTTAAAAATGAAAAGTAGATTATTATGTGTATTGTACAAATATATAAATTTTCTAACCTTACATAACTTTATGAAATTACCTATTAAAGTATTTTACTTACTTTTTCTCCATTTTAGATAAACATACTAAAATGTTAGAAACTGATGAATTTTTAAGGTTTTGATGAGGCTTTGACATTAAACATACTTACATATTGAGGAAAAAAAAACCCAAAAGTTTATTAAATTTTTAAATGACCTGGAGAAGAAAAAAAATATCTCCTGGGTGATGGAGAAAAATAATTCAACAAATTTTGAATTCTAAAAGAACTTTTCTTAATAAATAAAAAATTTCTATTGAAAAACAAATTTTTTTTTAACAAGTTTATTTAAATGTTTCCTGAATAAAGAAGTAAGCCTTAAAATCGTATAATCAATTTATAAAGAAGATGCTTGGAATTGGAACCAAGACAATGGAATTGCAATGCAACACAGTAAAAATCGTGTTAGGGAAATTGGGGGGGGGCGGAAGGGGCAGAAAAATTGTGTGGCGGCAGTGGAGGGGTGGTTAGTGGTCAGTGGGGGGGGGGAACTTAATCTAATATTTATTAGGTTAAAGTAACGTAGAAATGAAAAGAGTGTTTTCTTAATTTGTGGAGGGCAGTAGGGGGACGGTGAGGGTCTCTTGGTGGCAGTGGGGAGCGGTCAAGGGGCAAGGGGGGGGTTATGTGGGATGCCCCACACATTTAACTATATAATAAAGAAAGACATAAATGTATACAATTAAATAATTGTTTTTTATATAATGGCATGTTCCTCTTTTATTTATATGGATTTTTCTATTTACCATTTTACTCACTTATACTAGATCGTAGTTGATCCCAACCTTTCTGATTATGTTGGTTTTTACAGTTTATACTTCTATTACGATATATTCTATTCTATAGTAATGTATTTCAATGATTAAACTTCTATCCATTGAGCTTACTGTCACTTTTAATTATACAATACTTTAAAAAAATGACCCTTATTCGTCAACCCAAAATGCCACATGTCTGACTGTTTAAACCACTCTAGTCTTTCAGCTGCTAGGAATACAGCTTTACTGTAGACGTAATCATAAATTAAAGTTGGCATACAAAAAAGTTTAAAAATTTTTTAATTTGAACGCAGTTTCTTGCGCATAAAGACAATATTATATAAAATCTATTGTATGCAACTATTAACCCTAGTAAGACAAGTCTACTGGTTTTACATTAAGTTTTGTAGGCATTTTACTAAAAATAAAAACTTCTGTAAAACGAAAATTTGCATTGAGTGGAAAGATGACTGATAAATTTACAAGATTTTTAATGTGTAGTTTGAAAAAGTGGTAAAAAGAAAAGTATCACCCACTGCATTTGACCTTAAAGGCTGACTGTTTATCCTAATGAGTTGACAGTTGCATTTTACCAGACAGTTTAGTTCCCGTGCTTAACGGAATTGGTTTTGATCATACCTCTTATTTTCAAGGAGGACTTGCTTCTTCCATTGTAATTATATGAAATACTTATAGAACCAACTTATGGTACAGCCTATTCAATAAATACCTTTTTTTAACTGTGATGGCTAAAAACTTGTTAATATTGCATTTATTTTATAAAACTCATTATTTGATTAAGAAATCAAGTAATTTTATTTAAATCTAAAAAATAAATCATTTGTGTTTGTGGGATTCCAGAAATAAAAATTAAGAGTTTAATGTCTAGAAGACGATAGCTGAAGAACAAATACTAGCAAGTGTCAAGAAAATTTAGTGAAGCAAATGCGTTTTAATAGTTTGCATCTAACATTGCACGGATCCTATATGGATACTATACTATTTACCAGGGCGATTTGAGCGTATCGTATCGGCCAATCTAACAAGTCCAAGGTCGTCACAATGCACAATCTCAGGCACGTAGACGTAACGCCCGAGAAAGCCAGAAATAACTTTCCTAATAAAGTTAGCCTCACGGTGAGCGAAACTTTTTTCCTGTACTTCCTTTTGTTTGTTTACCGTAGTTAACTGTTTGGACTCACCCATACATTTTGGAAATTTTCTGAATCGGATCACCTTGCGTTCCTGTAAAAAATCAAGAGAACTGAAATTTCTCATATAAAAAATAAGTAAATAACGTTAAAAAAAAAAAATTCATAAAAAAAGCTTAGCTTTCAAAGAATACATCATTTTTATAATTTTTTTTCATAATATGTTACAACAGTTTCAAGGTTTGGGTGAAACTCTTATCAACATTTTTTTTTAACTATGTAAATTATATGAATCATCATTTTACTGTCATGTACTGTAATCATTTTACTGTCCTAATTCTGCAGAAGTATATGTAAAAAATTTCCAATACTTAAGACGTACACATATTTGTTAAAAAAATCGTATGTACTGTTATGTATTTTGACTTTGAATTAATCCATTCTTTTAAAATGTTTTATAAACGATTTATAAGTTTGACCCTTCCGTAAAACACAAGTGAGAATAAACGTGTTTGGATATAACCCTGGCATAATTCTGCCATTGACTAGAGTGGCTGACTGACCCTCTTTCATTGTAAGCACATTCATCCCAAAAACAGAAATAATTAAAAAGATGTAAAAATCAATAAAATCCAATGTTACAGTTATTACAAATATTCTGTCAATTTTTCAGAACGATGGAAAAAATAGTGTTTTAGAAATTCATTGCTAAAGGGAGGTCTTTTAACATGAATGGTTATGGAAACAACAAAAAAATCTCTTAGTTAATTTCATGTAGCTCTGTCAGAAGTAATACAAAGGTTAAAAAACTATGCATTACAAAGGCTGGATGTTAAGAAAGATGTTAGAAACGAAAGTTGTGGAATTACAGCGTAGTTTAGTCAATAATTTAGTGCAAAATTGAGAGGACTATGTTCTTTTTTAAGATAAACGCATACACGTATAATATAACGCATCAGGAATACTGCATATTATTATGTCATAAAGACACTTATTACACTTACTTATTGTAATATAAGTAATTACTTATAATAAGTTACCGATAATCGTTGTTACATATCAACACAACCGTGCATTCGTTCTAAATAAAAAATTTTTTTTATACATTACATGTAGTTTGCAATTTAACGAGGATAGACAAATTTGTTTTTCCTCTATTTCTGATGTCATAAATTTTTTTATTTTGTATCGAAATAAGTAGTCTCCTACAATCTTGTCTTAATATTTTTTATAATAAATTCGAACTTTTTAAGTAACAGTAACAATTACTCTTATGATACTCTTAAAAAGATACCTTAAATTTGATCATTACATTACAATTCAAGTCATATTCATGAAAAAATGTTTAAAATATTTTTCATATACTCTAAAATATTATCTTGCATTTCTTTGGTTTTAATCAAAGTAGCTATACCATGAACTCCTTGCTGAAGGTAATCAATTTCATATGCTTCTCCTTTAATCTACTCCTTAATTAGAAAGTCAAAAGTAATACCAGCAATTGCCATTCTTTTTAACATAACATTAGAGATTTTGCTATTTCATGGTTCAAAATACTTTAAATTATTTTAGTGGTTTCATATTTCGTGATAAAATTAACTCTACCATCTACACTTGCACACTAATTTACTAACTCTTCATAAGTAATGTAGGAACAAACTAATTTTTTTAATAATTTAACATCGATAATAACATCATGAGCCTGTTTGGTAAATTCTTTGAGCAAATCTACAGCTAGCATAGTTGATTTGTAACCATTTGTTTTTTTAACTAGGTAATTACTTTTTGAATAATGGCAAGGTATTACTGAAACAGAAAATGGTTTGCCAGAACCTTTGTACCCAGCACAGCTCTTCTAGTTTTATGAGCAACCTTGTTATGTCAAAAACGGTAGTTGTGAATGGCTAGAATACAAGATTTACTAGTATTTTTCAGGAATTTCATAAGTTGATGTAAAACATCTACAACGGGTGATGCAGATACTTGTACGCTTTGACGAAAGAAATCACCACCCTCATTTTTTAATCCATTCACCACGGACACCCATGGATTAATTGATTTTGATGTTTTAATCTAATCGTTAAATACTGATGTCTGGTATATTGCATCCAATTACAGAATGTCATCAGTCGTGCTGAAACCTCCAGTCTCAAGGTCGAAATAAATATTGTATAATTATTGGAATCATTTAGTGATGAAGCCTTTATGTCGATGTTTACTTCTATGACAGAATTTTGAGACGTTCTAAGTAATAACATATTACTTTCAAAGGTTTGTCCCTTAACAGCTTCACGTCAGTTTTTCAATTGCGAGTGTTGCTTTTTCTGTTGAATACAACGCAGTTTAAAAACTGCATCGTGACGAATCGTCCCAGGACTAAAGTATAACTTAAAAATCGTATTCTGAATGTATTGTTTCCCAGTATTTTCTTAGATGATAGCACAAGCAACTCTAAAATCATATGATTCAGAGATAGCATGAAAAATTTGTTCTGGAGTCTTTCATAAAATTATATTGTTCAAGCTTTCATTGCTTTGAGTAGAACGATCTGATACAAATGATTCTGAATTTTCAACTATTTGTACACAAACAATGTCGTTTCCCTTCAGGCGCACAAGTTGTATTTTCTGCCCTAGGTAAGAAATATACTATTTTGATGCAGTCCCGGCTGGAAAAAATCACGTAATTTTTTACCTGAAATATCACGTCAAATTCTCATAGGATTTATCGAAAAAATTTTATTTTGAAAAATAATTGTCTGAAATATAACTCAACCCGAATTTATTGACCACAATTGATGTTACCATCCATTTGACAACACCAAAACTGGGGAATTAAAGTGTTTTATATTTAATTTAGAACATTAAAAAAATATTTTATTTTCCTGAATTTCATATTAATCACTTTAGTCCCCCAGTTTTGGGTGTTGTCATACGGATGGTAACATTGATTGTGATTAATAAATTTGGGTTAAATTATATTTCAGACAATTATTTTTTCATAACAAAATTTTTTCAACAAGTCATGTGAGAATTTGACGTGAAAAATCACGTAATTCTTTTCAGTAGGGGTAATAATGGCACAGATTTTTTATTTTAATACCCATACAATTTTACCTACGATTGCTTGTGTAATATGCTTGCGTATGCCAGCGTCAATCGTTTTTCTTCTTTACACGTCTCCAAGTAACTTTCTTTGGCCACAATCTCAACAACAGCTCTAACTTCTCTTTCCTTTTTCTTAAACAGTTTGTGAGCCACGCCTGGTATGCCCATGGTTGTAAGGAATTTCGTTACAGCATTATGTCCTAGACCATTATTTTATGACACAATACAATAGAACCAACATGCAGACTAGCCGGTGTCTGACTATGCAGTTTCATCGAATCTTCCGATGATTAAAAAACAACTTCCTACCACCTGCGATGATTACATCTCTAATGTCACCTCTGTCACATACGCTAACTCACTTATTTCTACTACAAACTTAATACCTTAAATGTAATTGTATCTAAAAAATTAAGACAAACCATCCTGTAGTACCGCTTTTTTCAATAGAATAGTATTACAAGCCAGTGAATGTCCCTCCAGGACGTTTATAACACATAGGGCTTTTTTGACAGATATTGTTCAAACATCGAAAGTATACTTAAAATAGCATAAAAAATATCCAAAAAAAGTTGCAGATCGTTCAACTGTCCCTTTTATAAACGTTTAATTTTAAAAAACTACAATTTAACATAGTAACACAGATGTGAATGAATCTTCTGATTTTTGTTTGTAAAAAAAATTACTTTTAGATTAACCTGTTTCGTTTTTAAATGGATCTATAGTTTTTTTTCCTTATTAACATAAGAAAGAAGGGGTTAAAATTTAAGTTTGTGTAAAAGTAAGTATGTAAGTACATCCATATGAGAAAAATAATTTCCAGCGTTGCTACATATATTTGCGCTCCTCCTACCTCTCTGAACTTTAAGCTGAACTTTTCCCCTGCTGTTAACTATGTGGAAAACGTCTTTAAATAAGAAATCATCTCAGTCACGAAGGAAGACTTATGAATAAAGAAAACGCAATAAGGGGTGTGCGTGGAAGCATGTATATGAGTACATCCACATAAGAAAAAGAATTGCTAGCTTTACTCTACACATTAGTGTTCCTGTCATTTCTCTGAACTTTCCCCCACAAACTATGTGAAGAACGTCCTTAAATCAAAAAGCCACTTGAATCACGAATGAAAATTTTTAAAAGAATAAAATACAATAAAAATCAATTATTGTATTTATACAGTGCAAAAAAGTTTTTTTTATAATTTTTGAAAATTTTGAAATAATGTGAAAAAGTTGTATAAACAACTATTTATTAATTTTAAAAGTGAAAAAATACTCATAAGTTAATAAATGTTTATTAGTACATAGTAAAGCTGCTCTGCTAAAATATACTGAGTTCTAACGTCTCAACGTGTTAAAGTAAGTTGTACTGACCGTGCATGAAAACGCCCGCCCACTACATCACGGCTAATTTAATTGTGTTCAACTCGTCAAAGCTCAAAGAGTAAACCATTAAGTGTTATGAAAAAATTACGGTACATAATTTAAAAACAGCCAGTTTTTGATAGTTTAAAAAATGTGAAAACATGTTGTTTGCATGATAAAAGTTAACCTAGAGAAAGAAGAAAGAGACTCAGTTTTTGTTAGTAAAAGTGTGTTATAAGTTTTCGAAAAACAAACTTTTTTTTCACAGCGTTATATTTTAAGGTCTTGAGAAGGGCTGTGCCAAGTATCACACCATGATTTCAGGCTAAATAATTTCTAGACACAATTTTGTAAAAACGTTTCTCTCCATGCAAAAAGACTAGCTGGCAGACGATGCTCAGTTCTTTTCTAGATATTTCTTTAAAATGCCTGATAAGGTACATAATTTTCATACAAAAGTCTTCGTTAGCAGTTAAGCTATCCATTCGAAGTTTTTTTTCATTATGAATACATCTTTTACCTTACAATTTGGGCAACAAAGGCTGAATAATCGTTCTCGCCCATAAAAGCAATATTAGATAACGCGATTTCGGGAATTTTTTTTCGAAAATTTGGCTAGTAAA